TAATGGTAATTTGTTTTTAATTTGTTAATTTGTTTCTTGGTAAGTTTTTAGACGTACCACCACATGTCCGTGTGAAAATCATACATTTTCTAAATGTAAACCATCGATAGTGAGGGATTGCCCTTGTGCCTTATAATGGTGGTAGCGAAAGGAACACGCAAAGGAAATTAATTTTAGTCACTTGAATTAATTCAAAGGATAATTTGGATGAAATAATCTGCCTTCTTGGGGTTAAGACTATTTCTTCTTTAAACTTACCTCTGATGATTGTTGCTTCGATCAAGTTTGGTGTGATTTTTTAAATCGTCAGTCTGGTTCTGTTACACAGCTTTGGTGGATTTAAGTTTCGCATTAGTATTATTGGAGTTCCATCTTTTAATGACAGTAATGTGGTGGTTAATGGTGGGTAAATTTGCAGGCATTTGAATACCTGAGATAGCACGCACGGTTATTATTAACTTAATTATTTATGTTAGATTATATGGGTATAGACCAAAAGATACAAATATTAAGGCATAGCCATCGCTTTTATTGTGTATAATATTTTGATAAAGGTTTTTACGTTTACATAGTGGAGAACTTAAACGTTGTTGAGTGCTAGCACAGGTGTGCTGCGATTGAAGTTTAATCTATTTCGACTTTCCAAAAGTAAAATATTTTTATGTGCTGCATTCTATGGAAACAGTGTGGCACTATTTCAAATCCTGAGTAATACAGAATGTTGTGATTATTCAAACCTACAAAACACTGAAAGTAGACATCTGCTTTTAAATTATATTTATTTGTTAACATTGTAGTTCCAAAGTTCTGACATTGGACCCCTTAAAACCTTCTGGGGCAGAGCCCTTTTGACGGATCTACACCAAACTTCACACAAATCATCCTTGAATAATATTTAATAATGCCTAAACATTGTATTACAATCTGTTGAGTGATTTTGGAGTGCATAGGGTAAATAAATACATATATGCATAAATACATACAAACATTAATACATAGGCCTACATACTTCCTCTTTTATAGATATAGATATTTTACCAAGAAAATGGATTAACACGTTCCCTGCCGATCCCTGCCGACCGTCACACTTCTCTGTAACTGAGGGATGAGTATAGTTGGTAGCTAATGTGTTAAAGTATTTACATATAATTAAGGAACTGAGACTGCATGGATAATCTTTAGTTAATAAACGGTTTAACTTGAAAATTGTGTGTAACGAATACAACAAATTTAAAAATACATACTGTATTTTTAAAGACAATTCAGCAGTTAATAATTGACGTTTTAGTTCTTTAACATATTTTTTTTTGCCATCATCGTATATGCCAGTGACGACAAAATAAAAATAAAGGACGAGTTGACTGGCAGACACCGACAATTGATAGGAACTGCATTTGTCTCCATGACAACGGTCAGTTGGATAGCCAATTCAATTGAAACGAAGATTATCAAATAATCCATAAAACACCAAATTTGGAAATATTTTAATAATAATGTATTTACCTCACTATTAAATACATCAACCACATCCCTAAAATTGTCGAATCAAAAAACTTGTAATTTCCAACGGCACTGATCACCTAAATGTTTTATATCAAAACGTAAATGGCATACGTTCCAAGCTACAAATTCTACACTCCACTGTGCCATGTAACGATTTTGATATAGTTGTTTTATTTTATTTTATTTTATTTTATTTTGCTTCCAACGGTCCAAACAAACCAATTTACAATTATTTTTTTATATAATGCAAAGACAAGAAGAACAACAACTAAAATCTGAGCAATGTTGACTAACAATGAAAAAAATCTTTGATATAATTAACAATGAATAAAAATGTGTAGCCAACAAAGATAACAAAAATAATAACAACAACAACAAACAACAACAGCATAAACTACAATAGCAACAATAATAAATAACAACAGGAACTAATAATGACAATAGCATATAACAATAATAATACTACAATAGAAAATATAACAAAAGAAATAAATAAATAAACTGATATTTTACATAAACAACAAATCAAGGCAGCGCCTCACAGATCAACCAGTAACATCCTTTTTTTCAACGACTCGCCACTGATGGAGAAGAGGTCAATATCTTCCGGCAAGCTGTTGGCCAAGAGCTGGATGCGGGGAAATGTACTGTTGAACATGTACTGGGTTGAGTACTGGCGTCTAGCGAACGGATGAGTTTGGCGCAGGTGACGGGATGTGCGGAAGTTCAACTTATATAGTAGATCAGGTGCATCAATGTCTGAGTTAATTAGCTTCCTCAGGAACAGAAGGTCATTGATTTCACGTCGTGCAAGTAGAGGCCTCAAGTTTAACTGAAGTTGTAGATTCTGGATAGGAACGGTGCGGTAGTCATAACCCATCAGCACACCAACCAGACGAATGAAACGGCTCTACACGTTCTCAAGACTCTCAATCTGCCCAATCAGGTAAGGGCTCCAAACTGGTGATGAAAACTCAAGTAAAGGCCTGACTAGATGAATGTAGAGGATTCTCAATGCATTGATAGAGAACATGTTGCGACTGTTCCTTATAATGAAATATAGGGCAGAATTTGCTCTCTTGCAGATACAATTTATATGCTCTTGAGGGTTTAAATTTGGTGAGAGTATGACGCCAAGGTCCTTGATCCTGAAAGAACGTGGGAGGGGTTGACCGTCAAGTAAGTAGGGGAAGATAATGGGTGTGCTAGATCTGGAAAAGGATATCACAGAGCATTTTGAAATATTCAGAGTCATTTCATTATCACAGCACCACTTCATCAGCGAATCAATACCGTTCTGCAGAATTTGGCAATCATCCAGGGTTTTAATTGTTTTAAAGAGTTTAGCATCATCAGCAAAGAGCAAAATGTTCGACCCCTGAGTATGCTGTACCAGGTCATTAATAAATATTAAGAAAAGAAATGGGCCTAAAAGTGATCCCTGAGGCACACCGGAGACAGCAGAGAAAGGTTGAGATAGACAGCCAGCAACCCGTACCCGAAGAAAACGATCCTGGAGATAACTTCTTAACCACGCCAAGAGGCATCCGCCAAGTCCAATAGCTTCAAGTTTGGCAACCAGGTGTTTGTGACTTACACGATCAAAAGCCTTCGAGAAGTCAGTGTATATGGCGTCTACCTGATGAGAATCCGTAAAGGCAGTTAGAATGTGATCCTGAAAGGCGAGTAGGTTGGTAGTAGTCGAGCGTCCCTTAATAAAGCCATGTTGTTCAGTACATAAGATACTCTTGAGATGGAATGTCAATCTCCTCAGAACCAGGGATTCGAAGATCCTGGCAACTGTTGACTGTATAACCACCGGGCGATAATTCTTCACATCAGCGGGGGAACCAGACTTGAAGATAGGTGTTATATAACCCAACTTGAGATTGGTGGGGAAGATGCCGGCAGCCATGAGCAGGTTGAAATATACGGTAAGGTGAGGAGCTAAAACGCTACTACAGTATTTAAGAACCAATGGAGAAATGTCGTCAGGGCCAGCTCCCTTATTCACATCAAGCGAGTTCAACTCATCTTCAACCTCTACACAGCTCACATAGCAAGAGGAGATTGTGGTACATGCCTTGAAGTCGTATTGTGGTGGAGAAGAAGTCGGAGACTTGTATACAGAAGAGAAGAACTTAGAAAACAGGTTGGAGATGTCTTGAGGTTTTTCAGCAGCTTCATTATCAAGCAACATTCGGGAAGGAAGTGATGAGGTCTTCTTAGACGACTTGATATAACTCCAGAAGACACGAATGTTACTATTCAGAGATGAGTCAATAGATTGAATGTAAGCTGAGTAACATTTCCTCGTAAGTCTGTTGCATGCCGCTCGAATTCCACAGAATTGATGATATAGACGGTCATCAAGATTTTGCTTGTAGCGCTTATGTAGGTGCTTTTTCTTGATAATCATAGATTTGAGCTCAGGGGAGAACCAAATAGGAAATGATCGTTTACCAATGTATTTAGATGGACATGCACTCCTTATAGTATGAGTAAGTTGGAAACAAAAGTCAGAGAACAAGTCTTCAACGGGAGCAATATTATCCAAAACAGGGTAGTTAAGGCGTTGAACCCATTCGAATACATGGGCGAGATCACACTTCCTTAAATAAGGGGCAAAGACACTATAGTTGAGGTCTTCTGTAGGATTGATATCCAGGTCCATCTCCAAAGCAGGATGGTGACTTTCAGCATGAAGAAGAGGGTCTATGGCGTTGTGGACATTCAAATGTATAGAAGAGAAGACCAGATCAAGAAGAACTCCACGATCATTGTAGACATTGTTGTACTGCTTTAGATTGAGAAAATTCATAATATCACAAATACATTGGGCTGATGTATTGAGGTGGCTGGAAGGACTGGACCAGTCTACATTCGGTAAGTTGAAATCCCCAATAATCAGAAACGAATTTATGTCTTGCACTGTAACTGACAGTTCCTCCAGAATAGATGCAAATTCAATATACTGAGTAGAATTTTGATTAGGAGGCAGATAGACACCAGCCAGGATAAATAAAGAGTTCTTGAGCTTCAAGGCCGCAAAGACACATTCAATGTTAAGAGAAGAAGGGAAGAGTTCCCAAGAATCAAACTTGTCACGGATCGCCACGATAACCCCACCACCACAGGTTTTCTGGCTCGATGTGATGGATCTATCACACCTGTATACCCTATAATTGATGAAACCCAATTCCATACTGCTTATATCTTCTGAAAGATTAGTTTCCACCAGTATAACCACATCATACACTGAGACTAATTTGAATAGCTCCGTTTCTAGCTCTGAACTTGGATTTGATTCATACATCGTCTATCGGAAAGACCGCTCTCCCCTAACTAGCTACAAAGTAGATGGAGGTGGAGTTCTTATAGCCGTTCACAGGAAGTTCCTTTCTGCGGAGGTGACTCAGCCCGACTCCCCTATAGAAGCATTATTCGTGACGGTCAAAATTAATTCCTTTGTGAAATTCCTGATCTGCGCTGTGTACATGCCGCCTAACTCCAGCCCCACAGCTTATGATTTCTTTGGCGATTCAGTGATATATGCCACTTCCACCTGCAATAATGTTAACGCCATTCTGATTACCGGAGACTTCAATCTTCCGAGATTCGATTGGTGTAATCCTGTTGCTGCTGATGCTTCCCCCTCGGTAAAGGCTGTGCTCGATCTGGCATCACACCTGGACCTGACACAGATCAGTGGTGTGCTCAACAGCCGTGGTGTTCAGTTGGACCTTGTTTTTGGCTGCCCAGGTGTATTTTCTGTGTCTCTGGCTGATGATACCCTCATTGCAAACGAAGAATACCATCCAGGCTTGGCTATCACCGCTTCCTTGACCGGCTACAGCAGAGCGCCAACTAAGACCCCTTCCTACATCCGGAACACCAAGAGGCCCAACCTCGAAGCAGTGAAAAACGACCTGAAGAATGGTGTTATAAACTTGGACCGCGACTGCACTGACGTTGATTCTGCTTTCTCCAGCTTCTGCACCCAACTTAGCGATTGTATCAGATTCCACACTCCTTGGAAAAGAATAGGACTTTCTGCTTTCCCTCGCTGGTTCTCCAAAGAGCTAAAGGATTTAGTTGTACTTAAAAAGTCGCTACATAGGCAATACAAGGAATCACATGACCATATTGCGTATGAACGTTTCTGCAGAGTACGGGCCCACTGTAAAGTGATGGCCAGGGATTGTCGTTCCAGATACATCGGTCATGTTAACTCTACCATCAGCTCTAATGTTAAAGTGTTTTGGAGTTTCTTGAAGCAACTTGATAGAACATCGGTGGATCCCTCTGTGATGGGAGATGGTACTACAACTACGTCCCGTCCCGATGAGATGTGTGAGCTTTTTGCAAGTTACTTTTCCTCTGTCTACTCTCCTTCAACTCACATCGCCTACACACCGCTAGCAGACAAAACGTCCTTCGTTCTGGCTAGTTGTTCAGTGTCAGCTATAGAAATAGACAACAAGCTCATGAGGCTTGACTCCTCAAAATCCTGTGGTCCTGATGAGGTGACTCCGGGAGTTCTAAAATACCACTCAGAGCTAGTTTCCTACTTGCACTTTCTCTTCAATCTCAGTCTGGAACATGGTATCTTTCCAGCAGTATTGAAATGGGGATATGTTATACCCATATTTAAGAGTGGTGATAGGCAAATGGTCACGAACTACCGACCAATGTCTTAATAGAAGAACAACATGGCTTCTCCCCAGGTAAATCGACCGTCACCAACCTTCTTTCCTTCCAGAGTCAAGTAATGTGTGCCTTCAACCACCGGTCTCAAGTGGATGCAATTTACATTGACTTCAGCAAGGCATTTGACAAGATCAACCACCACCACGTTCTGCGGCCGCATCCTGGTCTCCTGCCAATGAAACTTAGTGTCTCCCGTTGTTATTCGTCTTTTGCTATCTTTTTCGTTTTCTGTAAATTTATTCATGTTAGAGTTATGTTATCGTTTGTTTAATACTGTTTTGTTGGATCAAATATTTACTATTGTTATTGCTTTTTCATATTCTATTTCGACTTCATTGTTATATTATTGTTATATTCATTGTTAGCTTTCCTAGCCAAAGATTTATGTTGCTTTTGCTGATCGATTGCTCAATTGTATTGCCAATCCAAATTCTTACCTTTGTTATTGCTTTTTCACAATTATTTTGTCCTTCATTGTTAATTATTGCTTTACAACAGTAGTCATGATTATATTTTCTGTTTTACCAATGTTGCTCTGATCCTGTCATAGATTTAAGTTAGTTGTTAAGTTTTCTGTTAAAATGCATGTTGTTACCACATAGGCTTTTTGTACCCACACTGTAGGGATAAATTGGTGATATGTTGCCGTTGGAATAAATAAATAAATAAATAATGTGTTGTGTGTACCTAATAAAACAACAGTATTGTTTTTTTTTTATTACATTGTTTTATATTTTAATTGTAAAATCTAAAATCGTCTTGCGTATAAGCACGTGTATTAACTTACTTTCTTAAGTAGTCTAGTAATAAGTGTCTATGAGGTTTTGCTAACGTTTTGAGCAAATCGATAAATTGGTGAGCTCTAGTCCAGCAATATCGATATGATTGCCACATGTATACCCATGGTGTTGACAATATTTGGACAATACACCAACCGCAGAACCGACACCACACTTAACCAACACACGTTCACTATCAGTGTGGGCTGCGTTTTCATTTATATCCCTACAACACACTCAGTGTTGCAAACAAACTAAAAACCCATGAAATATTGTCCTAAACCAGTAGCCTACTGTATTCTGAATAAACGTTTTATTATTACTTACCGTAGTAAACCCACTAAAACGTAAAAATGCCTTTTGTATATGTATGAAATATTATTTAGCGTAATATACAATTTAGAATGTTAATAAGCCAGTTTGTTTAGCTAAAAAAGCATTATTTTTAATTGTTTTCCAATTTGAAACTTTAAATGTAGTTTGGAGTCTTTTGGTTTGGTTATATTATTTGTATGTGATGTATTGATGGTGTTTTAGAAGCTATAACCTTAATATACTGCAAAATATCCATTATACAATTCATCCTACGCTGTTAAAACAAAGATGGTGAAATAATTGCCAAAAATCATCATTATTGTATGCCAGCGCTACTTCTTTCAAACGTCTTTTGTTTGGACGATCTTTTGTTCAAGGTTCCTGGAAGGACTTTAAACTTAATAAATAAATAAGTGGAGGTAATCATTTTAGAATTTAAAAAAACCAAATTCTACACTAACATATAATTTATGTTAACTGTTCACAATGCACAATTTTGTGAATTCACTATCAATGGACATTTCTAATTCAATCTACATTTCATTACGATATATTTGTATTTATGTGTAATTCATAAAAAAACATAAAACTGAATTAATGTAAAGATGAAATCAAAGTAAAACGTAATGTGTAGTTTTCGTTTATTATTTGTTTTGGATTACTTACTTGTATACAGGGTGTCCCGGAACTCTCTACCAATATTTTAGGGCATTGCTCCTGGGTAAGAAACATAACTAAATATCATATTTAAATTGTCCGGAAGTCCTTAGTTACTCACACAGCCGCCATTTTGTTTTTTTTTCAGTTATTATTTATTTTATAAAGGAATGGTTAAACATACGAAATGGAAACTTTGCCCAAACATTTATGACAACTAGTCAAAGCTACCAAAAAATTATCACGATTTTTCAAATTCATAAAACAAAATGGCGGCCATTTAACATTTTTGTAAAATCCACGGTTTTTGAGTTATTTAAAAAAGAAAATTTTAAATGGCCGCCATTCTGTTTTATGAATTTTAAAAATCTTCATATTTTTTTTGTAGCTTTGTCTAGTTGTCATAAATGTTTGTGCAAAGTTTCCATTTCGTATGTTTAACCATTCTTAAGAAAATATTAATAACTGAAAAAAAAACAAAATGGCGGCTGTGTGAGTAACTAAGGACTTCCGGACAATTTAAATATGATATTTAGGTACGTTTCTTACCCAGGATCAATGCCCCAAAATATTGGTAGAGAGTTCCGGGACACCCTGTATAATAAATACTAGTGGTTTAAGGCTAATAAATCCGTTGTATTCATTTATCAAAACACAATTGAGCATCTATTTATTATTATAAGCAAATCAACTTTAATACAACCGAAACCTACTTGGTACCGACAAAAAATGAGTTTGTATACCTGTATGCATGGACTGCTGATACCCACTAGTCCCGATCACAATTAAAATAATCACTAATTCTCTAAACCTATGAAGATTAGTGATTAATTTAGTTCATAAATGAGTTTTAAAATTTTCAAGTCAACCAAATAAATGGGTCAGGAATTATAGTATAGGTTCTCAAAGAAAGACAAAATAAACAAATGTTTAAGACCACTTTGTTAGTGGGACAAGTTACGGTGGGCTTTAGTTTGCCAACTTGCTGACTTTGAAGTTTTGAACCCTTTAAAAATATCTTATTCTCTTTTGTTGAATCATTTTCACAAAACCTTGTTGAAACAATGTATGAGAAATATAATGTTAAATAAAATTGTATTTAACTTTTATTTTTTTATTATTTTTTTTAAATAATTAATTTATAATTTTTATTAATTTTTTTTTAATATTATAATTTTTTATAATATATATAATTATAATTTTTATAATATTTATTTATAATTTTATTAATCCTTACATATAATTTTTTTTGAGATACCAACACTGTATTAAAATAAATTCGTAAATAACCTATAGTCCCTGTGTATTATATTATTTCATTACAAAATTACATTTAGATGAAAAACTGCGCTCTGGCTCTTTAAAATAGGTCCATTTTGGTGTCTGAAACAACAACGATACTTTTGTAGGTCTACTACAGTTTTAATTGACTACGTTTCTTTAATGTCCGTACTAGTACTTCAATTGGTATAATGCCTTGAAGTCATAGTCTGAATAGTAATGGTTTTGTTTTTATGTTGCTTAAATAGTATTGTTTGTTTAATTGTTGTTTGTCGTAAATAAAAGTGTATTTTAGTACATGGTAAATAAATCTGTGATAATATTTTTTGTTTAATATTTTTTGTTGCTAAGAGTTTGTATCTGAGGAGACACTATAATTAATACGAATGTAAAAATTTACCAAATACAGCATTTTCAAGTTCATATAATTACATATACCGATTCAAAATTGCTTTTAAGATCCTTCATAACCTCTTTATGAACAAAACAACTAAACAAACAAATTTTATTCAAGTAACATAAAGCAAAACCAATCCTACTTAGACTTTATACTGATTTCAAAGCCCTAATAATTGTACAGTAGAACCTTGATAACAAGACTCTCAAGGGGATTATTAAATGAGACTTGTTATCAAGGTCAAGACTTATTGAGGTTTGCAATAACATATGATTTAGGGTAAAATAAATTCAAGGGGATTTCAAAATGACACTTGTTATCGAGAGTGACTTGTTATCGAGGGTCTTCTTATCGAGGTTCCACTGTAGTATTAGTACTGCATTTTTAGATATGTTGTAAACTAAAACAGTAGTACAAATCAGCTTTGTCATTTCAGACACAAAAATAAGCCTGTTTAAAAATGTCTGATTGCAGAATAATAGCCTTGAAATTTATTGTATTTTATAAATCCTTAACGAAATCAAATGTTTGATTCTGTAAGGCTTTCAAGAAGAATCATATTCTATAGATTAAATACAATGTTTGCTAATGATATGCTTGCATTTTATGTAATATCACATACATATTAATATTTAAATATTAAGATACCACAGTTGGTTGTTTTCTACAAAAATAATGCAATTTCTCAAGAATTTTGACTAATACTTTTGATGGACGTGAAGAATGTTTAATATTACAAATATCAGGCCGTTCTACCACTGCCAAATATCACAGCATTTTTCATATGCAGTAAAATTGCCATTTTAGATAAAGATAATATCCATAATTGTAAGGATCGTATTTAAGAAAGGAAAATGGCATGTACCATTTTATACACATTTCTTGAGTTTCTTAGAGTACGCTTAATTGGCAGTAAATTAATGTAAAATTAATAAGATATTAAGTAATAAGTGAACATAGAGCCGATGCACTTTACAAGTATATTAACTTACCATTAATCCGCCAGTGATTAACTTGACCAGGTGTTTTGAATTACACGCTAAGTACGTTCAACATAGTAAATAGCAGATACTGTATGGTGTTATATTAGTACTCGTTACGCACAACAATTATATAATAACAGGAATATAATATACAACAGGTACTAAGTGGCATTTCAAATTACGAAATGTTCTATATATTTACAGATTGACAGAATAATAGTCTTGACGATAGGTTTAATAAGAATAGTTTTTTCTTTGTGGCGTCAAAAATATCATAATGCAACAAGCAATTTAAATCTCATTACATCAAATGACAGTCAATAGATTGCGTAGTTTAGGTTGTTTGGTAAATGTCTAGGTTTTAACATTTTACCAGTTTTACAAACACATTCAATTTTTTTCAATGAAAAACTATTCACCCTATTTCTTTATTACTCCCCTCTTAAAAAGTCCAAATTTTACCTCTACAATTAAATTTAAATTACAGTAAAACCGCGTTTGGAGGGGGTGTAATGAATTACAGTAAATAAGAGTGGAAAAATCATACTTAACTAGTTTTTGTGACGTAAACATGATTC